AGATGTGACAAGGTGACCACCAGGTGTTGACAGCAAGGTAAATGTGTGTTTCCTGGAGGAACAGAGTAAAGTATCAGGTTAATCTGATGGCTTTTGATTGGTGTCAGCCTGGATGTCCTCGTGTGAATCTCCCTGTAAGACAGGACCATCATGAAGGACCGCCTGTGTTGTGGTTACCGTGTGACAGCTGCCGTGGGTGGAAGAGGGCTAGTTTTGAGAACTCCAGTCAGGATTCTGGGGAGAAAGAAGCCCAAGCAGGATAACAGGTGGCAGCAGTCAGCAAAGAGAAGACAGGCCTGATTTCTGAGCCCTCGGGAAGCTGCCCTGGACTTAAAATTTACATTAGAACTTCTCTTTCACTATGTTTTGACTCTTGGAAGAGACTAAGTAGTTGCTCACTGAACTTTTTCCTTCTGAGAACACAGCTAGGCTTTATCATCCAGCCTCTCTTGCTGTGGAAGGTGGTCAAGTGACTGGGTTCTGGAAGAAATGACCTTTGCCCCTTCCAAGCCTGGCCCATAAAGCCTCCTGTGCAATCATCGATGTTCTCTCTCCTTTCATTTGCACCCAGATGCTGAGGATCCAGTGGAGGGGCCTAGGGGCGAGGAATCTTTTTCCTGCCAGGGGCCATTTAGATATTTATAACATCATTCACAGGCCATACAAAATTATCGACTTCAAAATTAGCCTGCAGTATTTTGTCAGGCTAATTTGGTGAGGCGTGTGAGGGTAGCTGGTATTGATTTCTCAGGCCTGATATGGCCTGAGAGGATACTAGTTGGAAGAACCTGAATCCCTGCGTGACCGTGTGGAGCAGAGCTCCCTCACCAACCCCGCTGTACTGTGACAGGAGTGAGAAATACACCTTTGTTAGGCTTGTTTGTTATAGCAGCTGGCTTACCCTGGCTGATGCACTGTGAAATACTGTTATTTGTCTGACTTCTAGGTTGCTTCTTCTTTCTGTCCTTCAATCCTTGTCTTTCTGTCATCACCTGAACAAAAATATATCCCAAAAGAGTCGGGGTTCCTCCAGCCACTCTTCTCTGGGTCAACCGTAAGTCCTGGTCTCTCTTTTGAGCTCCAGACTCTCATCTCCAGCTGCTTAAGCTCAGCTGCCCTGCAGTTCTAAGCTCATCATCTTCCTCCCCAAACTGGCTCTCTCTTCTAAATGTCCCTCTCACTGGCCTCCAGGCTTCTAGCCAGACTGGCCACACATCTCTGTGTGTTCCTCAGTTCCTCCCTCTCGCTCCCCTTCCCTTTCCCCCCACACCTGTCCCTGGTCCTCCACTGCCCTCATGACTTTAGCTCTCTCCTCAGGCTAAGTGGTGCCCCCAGCTCTCTCTCTAAGCCAGCACCCTCGGCTATATCCATGTCAACTCTTGTTTGGCCTTTTACAATAACTTTTTTTTTTTATTGACTTTAAAGTGAGAGGAAGGGAGATGGGAGAGAGATAGAAACATCAATGAGAGAGAACATCGATTGGCCACCTCCTGCATGCCCCCCACTGGGGATTGGGCCCACAACCTGGGCATGTGCCCTGACCAGAAATCAAACTGGCAACCTCTTGGTGCATGGGTTGACACTCAACCACTGAGCCACACCCACTGGGCTACATTAGCCTTTTTATTTTTTTTTAATTAAAAATATTTTATATATGTACCCCTATGTTCATAGCAGCACTATTTACAATAGCTAAGATCTGGAAACAACCCAAGTGTCCATCAGTAGATGAGTGGATAAAAAAGCTGTGGTACATTTACACAATGGAATACTATGCAGCTATAAGAAACAAAGATCTCTTATCCTTTGAGATGTCATGGAAGGACCTGGAGAGTATTATGCTAAGCGAAACAAGCCAAGCAGAGAAAGACAAATATCATATGATCTCATTTATTTGTGGAATATAATGAACTAAACAAACTGATGAACAAAATTAACCCAGAGACATAGAGGTGGGATACAGACTGACAAGCCTTAGAGGAAAATGACAAAGGTTAAATACATAGAGAGAATCTTAAAAGCAGCAAGAGAAAAGCAGTCCGTTACCTACAAGGGAGTTCCCTTAAGACTGTCAGCTGATTTCTCAAAAGAAACTTTGCAGGCCAGAAAGGAGTGGCAAGAGATATTCAAGGTGGTGAAAAGCAATCACCTACAACCAAGATTACTCTATCCTGCAAAGCTATCATTTAGAATCGATGGACATATCAAGAGTTTCCCAGACAAGAAAAAGCTAAAGGAATTCATCATCACCAATGTTGAAGGGTCTTCTTGAAGGTAAAGAAGAACAAAAATATGAACAATAAAATGGCAATTAATACATATCTATCAACAATTGAATCCACAAACAAAATGAGCAAGCAGAACAGAAACAGACTCATAGATACAGAGAACTTGCCAGGTGGGTGGGGGCTGGGGGTATGGGTGAAAAAGATGAAGGAATTAAGAAGTACAATTGGTTGTTAAACTGATGAACCTCAAAGGGAAAGGGGGAGGGAGGGTGGGATGAGATAAACCAAAGAACTTCTATGCATATACGCATAACCAATGGACACCGACACTAGTGTGGGGAAGGCAGGAGGGGGGCAGGACTGGGGAGGAGGGGGTCAATGGGAAATAAAGGGAGAATCATCTGTAATACATTCAACAATAAAGATGAGTTTAAAAAAAAAAAGAAAAGAAAAATATTTTAAGTATACAGAATAATGTACCTAATTGGCCAGCTTAGTCAAATCTAAATATTTTGCTATATTTGAAAATGAAGAAAGGAAAAGGTAGTTCAGATTTAGGAAATAAAAAGCTTATGTTCTCTCTTACATTGTACTAGATAGAATTTTACAACACACTTACTTAACAGCAGAATTTATACACAATGCCACGTTTAAGTCTGTTGTTGCCTCTACGTTATATAAATCACTAATGTGACAGAACCCTTGTGGTTTTATGTGCATTTTTACAGGGAAAAAAATGTCATCTGAAGTGCCTAAATTCATTCAAATAACTAGAATTTTTTCCTGTGATTATTTTTTTAAGGAATAGTTTATTGATTTTTGGAAAGAGAGGATGGGAGAGGGAGAGGGAGAGAGTAATGTAGATGTGAGAGTGAGACATTGAATGGCTGCCTCTTGCACGCCCCCTACTGGGGATTGAGCTGCAACCTGGGCATGTGCCCTGACCGGAATCAAACTGGCGACCTTTCTGAGCCTCTCCAGCCAGGGCTCTGTGATTATTATCATGGATTCTCAGAACTAAAAAATTTGAGATTCTCTACTATGAATACCATATATTTAAATAAAACATTTCAGATGTGTTTGAAGCTCCCTACCAGTCTACTGGGTATGAATGTAACTTAGTTGAGATTTGAATTTCTTTGAACACTAGTGAAGTTGAACATTGTTGATGTACCTTTGGTTTTTTTCATTTTCTTGTTTTTGAATTTTTTTTCTTTTTTTTTTTTAATTAATTAATTAATTAATTTTTTAATCCTCACCCGAGGACATTTTTCCATTTTTTGTTCAGATAGAGCGGGAGGGAGAGAGAGGAAGAGAGAGAGAGAGAGAAACATCGATGTGAAAGGGACACATCGAGTGGCTGCCACCCACACGACCAACCAGGGCCAGGGACAAACTGCAACCGAGGTACGCGCCCTTAGCGGGAACCGAACCCGGGTCTCTCCAGACCGCAGGTGGGCGCTCTAACCGCTGAGCCAAACCGGCCAGGGCTTTTTTTTTTTTCTTACCTATAATTTGCCAATTGAAAATGGTTTGGCTTTTTAACTGATTTATAAGTTCTGGATACTAACCCTTTATTGGTCCTGTGTGTCGCCAGGGCCGTCTCCCTGTCTGTGCTCACCCTCCCTTGTACGTCTGCATCTCCTTTTGTACTCGAGTTTGTCACGTGAACGTAGTCCAACATGTTACAGTTCCCCTTTTCGGTTTGTTTATTTTGATGCCGTGCTGAAGAAGTCTTCCTGTTCCCTGAAGTCATAAAAATGCTTCTGTTTTTGTCTAAACATTTTATGGTTTGGCTAATGTCATTTGTGTTCATAACGCAGTTGGAATTGAATTTTGTGTGAGGCACATGTCGGAATCCAGTGTTCTTTCCCCATCTGGGTAGATCGTTGTGCCCTCCCTGGGGTGGGACGGGCAGGAGAAACCCAAGCTCTGTTGTCTGAGGTCACTGGTTCATGAGGGATCTCCCCCCTTGCCTCCCCGGCTGAGTCAGCCACCCTCCTAGTGAAGCCGTGATTGTTTTGTATTGTCATTGTTTTGTCATACATCTATCCACTGTGTACATGGACACACACACACACTCTCCGGTAAATTCTTACAGGAACAGGAACTTAGAAGCAGCAGGGTTAAAACTTCAGGATCTGGGATCTACCATTTACTGGCTGTCTGACTCTGGGAAATTACCTAATCTGTCTGCCTCAATTTCTCCATCTGGAAAATGGGGGAAAGTACTTACCTAAGAGGGAGGTCTAAGCCACTAAGGCCACTAATGCACGCAGGGGGACGCAGCCCAGGAGAAGCGCTCCGTCAGTGTCAGCTCACGGGAATGGGTCTCTGTCCCCAGCCACATGGCACGTGTCTGACGTGGTAACTCCAGGAGCTCTAGTCTGAGCACGTCCCTGAGGTGTGTCAGCTTGTGAGGCACCCGACCCCAGAATGGCTCCTGGTGCTACTCCAGAGCCATGCCAGCAAGAAGCCCAGGTTGGGGGCCTGTGGCGAGCAGGGGTATGTGGACTGAAATACAGACCAAGACAGATGCACTGCCAGAAGCCTGGAGCTATGAAGGGCCAGAGGTCAATGAGGTGTAATGAATGCCAGTGATCTCTTTTTTTTTTCTTTTTTTAATTGAATTTTATTTTTTGATTTTAGAGAGAGGAAGGGAGATGGGGAGAGAGATAGAAACATCGATGAGAGAGAACATCGATTGGCCCCTCCTGCATGCCCCCACTGGGGATTTGGCCCACAGCCTGGGCCTGGGCCCTGACAGGGAATCCAACTGGTGACCTCTTGGTGCGTGGGTTGACGCTCAACCACTGAGCCACACCGGCCGGGCGCCAATGAGCTTTTCACGGCAAGATCGGGTCAGGTAGGAGCAATGGCCCTGCCTCTGGCGGTCCGATCTGGGCTGCAGGAGCGCGGGGCAGGAAGGCAGCACTGGGTGCGAGAAGCCGAGGTGTCACTCAGAGCATCCTGCTCTCTCCTTGCTCCCCGCCTCCCGCACCCCGTGCCTGGCCCTACAGGTCTGCATGGTCACACTCCCGTGGAGACATTCACTGGGACAGAACCACATCCTCATTGCTGGGATGGTGTCTGCAGAGATGTCGCAAGTGACAGGCACTTAGCCCACCTTCCTCCAGGAAGGACTCATCCTCTCGTCAGCCCACAGGGCTCAAACCGCCCCCCCTTCTCTCCCCCCTTCACTCCCTTTCTGGCCCGGCCCGGCCTGGCCCTCAGGTTTCATCCTGGGCACAAGGCGGAGGGCCCACTGGGATGGAAGGCAAGCAAGTTGCTGTGTAACAGAAGCATGTCCCGAAGAGCCACCTGAGCAGGAGAGGCGTGTCCCCTGTCCTCGGAGACTGTGACTCATGGGAATGTCACAGAGGGGTCTGGCTTCCCATTGGCAGTTGGATTCAATGACCTTCAATGTCACCCTTGAGAAGCAATGAGTCTGCAGTTCTAGGCATCTGTCCCGTAATGTGGCAGGGCACAGCCCTTCTGCTCACGTGGCCTGGGGTTTCCAGGATTCTGAGTCACTCTCCAGGCCCCGTCTCCAGAGGGCCCCGTGAAAGTGCACTTGGGGAAGCAGGCGCCCCCTCGCCCACTGCGCTGCTGAGCCACAGTCAGCAGAGGGATGGGGGTTTCCACGGAAGGCAGAGCAGCCTGGGCCAGTTCAGAAGTAGCTGTGTGACCGCAGGGGGGGAGGACGCTCCCCGGCCCGAGCAGTGGACACTGCCAGCGGCGTGGCAGGGTTGTTCATGACGATGGTGAGAATCAGGAGGCCAAGAAGGAGAGGAGGAGCTGGTGTAGCAGGGACAGGACTTTGCAGCCTAGCTTTGAGACCCTGAGAGGACAGTGAAGGGAGGGGCTGTCACGGGGACAGTCACCAATAGAGGAACTTGCATAGTCCATCTGGACTTCACAGCCCGTGGTCAGGAAGGAAGGGAGAGTCAGAGAGGGAGGCGAAGATTGCGTTACTCAGATCCCATCTAGTTGAACTCGGTGCTGATGTCTCTCCTCCCAGGCCCTGCGGAGGGGGCAGGCAGGTATCCAGATCCCTGGGTCCCCACAGCCTGCCCATCACAGCCCTCAGACTCAGAGCTTCTCCCCTACGGGTTGATAAGGACTGTTCTTCCTGTGCCCCCCTTCCTCCTCTCCTTTTTGGCCTTGCTGGTTTGGAACGGTCTCGGCCACAAGAAGTCACCCGCTCCCTGGGGAGCAGCGTGGTTCTCCCCCGGGTGCTCACTGCGAGTGACTTTCACCTTCAGGTCCTGGGCACCTCCGGCGGGACGGCTGGCTGGGAGTGCCGCGGTCTGTTTTTAGGGATGCTGGCATATTCCACAGGCAGAAATGGGTCAGCTGTGGGCTTCGGGCTGGCGTGGGTGTTGACGTAGATGGAGTCTTCGGGGCTGAAGGGCTTCAGGTGCATAAGTGAGGCATAGTGGATGTCCCCAGAGCCCACCTGCTGATTGGAGCCCTGGGAATCAAAGACAGACAGACATCCATTGTACAGATCACAGCTGGGAGTGGTCAGTGGCCCTTGGATGCCCAGAGCTGGGCCGAGGACGGGGACAGGGACAAGGTGTGGGCCAGGGTGTGAATCCTGCAGTGTCTGGCGATGGCAGAAGGCAGCCAGGGCACCACCCCCAACAGGTTTAAGAGTAAGGAAGGTTTCAGAGGGCACAGTCCGAGGGCCAGCAGCACTAGCACCAGCACCGCTGTCTCGGGATCCCCCCAGATCTATTGGCCCAAAGCCTCTGGGGCGGGGCCCAGGACACTGGCATAAGAAGCTCTCCGGGGGCCTTGTGTGCGCTCAGGTTTGAGCTAACAGAACACTTAGTAGGGAGATCATTCACAGAGGGTAGACCAGACGACTTCAGATCCTCCCAATTCTGTGATGCTGTGATTTTAAGAGTCTCAGATCTTCACAAAGGAAACAGCCCAGCCCCCAGCTCCTGATAACAGAGCACTCTAGGAAACCATGGTTTTTACCAGTTCACACCCCTCCCCACAGCTGATGGGACCAAGGGTGACTGAGCCACATGACCCACCAGATGAGTCAGCATTACAAGATATCTCCCACGGTCCAGCCGGTGTGGCTCAGTGGTTGAGCGTCGACCCATGCACCAAGGGGTCACCGGTTCGATTCTGGGTCAGGGCACAGGCCCAGGTTCTGGGCCCGACCCCCAGTGGGGGGCATGCAGGAGGTGGCCAGTCGATGTTTCTCTTTCTCCCTCTCACTTCCTCTCTCTCTCAAATCAATAAAGAACATTTTTTTTTTTTTTTTAAAAGAAATCTCCCCCGGGGGGAAGGTCAAAAGCGTGGTTAGCTGCTCCAACTCTCTGAGGAGTTTGAAGTTGGGAAATATAGAGAAAATATTTTGCATAGACGGGGCATTTGGGACCTGATGAGAGTCTGAATTAATAGAAACTGTGAGCAAATAGAAGCAGGAAGTAAAAAAAGAAGAAGAACAAAATCAAAGGTACCCAGGAAAGCTGAGATTCCCTCTGTCCCAGGGAGGGATCCGTCCTGTGCACAGCCTCATCCTCACAAGCGGGTCTGTCCCTGCCTTTGGAATAAAAGTCAGGTTTAGAGGAGGGACCTCTCTCCACCCTCTCCCAGGATCTCGGCGCGGGGCTGGAGGTCCTGGCCAGGAAGAAGGGAGCCTGAGGGGGAGGCTGGGCTGGTTTGGGAAACACCGTCCTGCCTGAGGAGGTAGCAGGTGCCAACGCAGATTTGTGTCCAGAAAGTGGACATTAGTACTAAACTAAAGAGCAAATCAAACTGGCTGCCCATGTCTAATTCTATCAAAAGGGCAAAGTAGATCAATTCTAGGTCAACGGACGCGTCACTGGGTGTGAAGTTACAGACACGCAGCGCGTCTGTGTCGGACAAACACTAGCACACCAGGCAGGGTCATCAGAAGGCACCGGCCTGGTCACCTTACCTGGGACTAATGCTGAAACTGAGGGCTCGGGAGATTCGAAAGTGCTCCAAGTACTTTTAGGAAGGCAGTGTTCACACTGATGGCGACCGTCACAAGCAATACCGCGGGCCAGAAAGGTCTTCAGAGCAATTTGTTTTAAAATCTTTAACTCTAGCCCGGCCGCTGTGGCTCAGTGGTTAAGCATCGACCCATGCACCAGGAGGTGGCCGGCTCCCAGGACACATGCCCAGGTTGTGGGCCTGATCCCCAGTAGGGGGCGCACAGGAGGTAGCCGATTGGTGTTCTCTCATCGGTGTTTCTCTCCCTCTCCCTCTCCCTTCCTCCCTCTCTAAAATCAATAAAGAAAAAAAAATTCTTAACTCTAAAAAGATGACAAAATACGTGATCCCAAATGAATACTAGAATACCCCGTTTTCGGCAAATTGGCACTGGCCTCTCAGGCCTCCGTTTCCTTGTTGGTAAACGGGCATGAAAACCCTGTCTCATGGCTCACGGGCACCGCATCGCGGCTGGGCACTCGGTCTGCTCAGAGCCGCGGCAGGTCACCTGCCCTGCCCTCCCTCGGGCTCTGCGGAGGTACAGGATCATGAGGACAGTGGACACCTGTGGGTCACCTGCCCTGCCCTCCCTCGGGCTCTGCGGAGGTACAGGATCATGAGGACAGTGGACACCTGTGGGTCACCTGCCCTGGCCTCCCTCGGGCTCTGCGGAGGTACAGGATCATGAGGACAGTGGACACCTGCGGGTCACCTGCCCTGGCCTCCCTCGGGCTCTGCGGAGGTACAGGATCATGAGGACAGTGGACACCTGCGGGTCACCTGCCCTGGCCTCCCTCGGGCTCTGCGGAGGTACAGGATCATGAGGACAGTGGACACCTGCGGGTCACCTGCCCTGGCCTCCCTCGGGCTCTGCGGAGGTACAGGATCATGAGGACAGTGGACACCTGTGGGTTACCTGCCCTGGCCCTCCCTCGGGCTCTGCGGAGATACAGGATCACGAGGAGAGTGGACACCAGCAGCAGCAGCAGGACTACCGTCACGCTGGAGATGACCTTGGTATTCCAGTGGCCTTGGCCTGGGGGGCTTTGGAGTAAGGACCAGCCAGGTGAGGAAAGTCGGAGCCAAACTTCTGCAGGCAAACCGTCCTGCCCCCAGGCCTGCAGTCAGGAGGCAGCCCACGGTCACGGTTCCTGCCCTGCAGGCCGGGCATTCTCGCTGTGCCACCCATCTCTGGGCTTGTTTCCGCCTCGGTAAAGCAGGGATGCTGCCGAGGTCTCCAGTTTTGCTCTGGCTGCTGGCTGCCCCTAACTGGCCATCTGGGCCCCTGCTTTGGGATCTGTGCTCACCCCTCCCGCATCGTTCCCTTAGCTATTCTCCCGTCGCTGGGAGACGCGGTTAGCTCCTGGAGAAGACCGTTTGACAGACAGCTCTGTGCCTGGTACATGCGTTCTAATAGGTCCTGCCCCAAGTCAAAGGAAGAACAAAAGGTAGACTTTCTCACAGCATGGCAGGCCCCTAGGGAAGGTGCCTGGGGTGTCAGTGGTCATCGGGACAAGGCAGCAGCTCTAGGGACACTGACCACTCAGCTCCTCTGAGCGGCACCCCTTGGTTCCTGGTGCCATGCCTTGGAGAAGGAACTGAGGTTGGTAGGGGCCCAGGATTCACAGTGAGGAATGGGGGGACGGGGGCAGGAAGAAAACCTGCTTTCAGGCCAATGGCGGCCTGGGGCCAGGAACCACTGGGCAGAGGGCGAGCAGCAGCCAGGCCCTGGGAGGTAGTCGCTGCAGAGTGGGGCACCCCTATGGCCTGGGCCAGCCCCCCTGAAAGGAGATGGGCTGGGAGCAGGGAAGGAGAAGCAGGCCTGGCGCTGGGTCCTCTGTGTCCCCCGAGGCAAACTTGGTCATGTCTGGGGACATTTTGGTTGCCACAACTGGGGAGGTTTGTGCTATTCCTGTCTAGTGGGTAGAAGCCGGGGATGCTGCTAATATTCTACTACACCCAGGACAGCCCCCACGATGAAGAATGATCTGGCCCCAAATGTCAATAGTGTCAAAGGTAACACACCCTGACGTAAGGTGGGAATGTTATTGGCCCCGTTTTGCAGAACAGAAAACTGAGGCCCAGAGAGGTGAGTGACCTGAGCGAGCTGTCTGACCCCCATTGCACCCCCTGAGGGCCAGGTATCCACAGGAATGTGTGGTTGGAGGCACTTGGCACAGCTGGCGATGGATGGAAGGCAGTGGAGGGGTAGGAACAGGGGAGGGGGGACGTACCTGTCAATGACAGGGCTGATGGCAAAGGTCCTCCAGGTGCTCTGGGTGGTGGGCGGGGTTGGAGCTGGGAGAGACAACATGAAGGGGCACTCCTATCTGTTTGCCCCACACGCCAGGGCCCCCTCTTCTAGCCCCCAGCCCTGGGGGGAGGAGCCCACGCACGGCCTGGCCCGGGTGGGGATGTGCAGCACCAAGTCCTGCAGATGCATGCTGGGGTCGCGAGTCCTGCAGATGCATGCTGGGGTCGCGAGTCCTGCAGATGCATGCTGGGGTCGCGAGTCCTGCAGATGCATGCAGGGGTCACCCCTCTTCTAGCCCCCAGCCCTGGGGGGAGGAGCCCACGCACGGCCTGGACCAGGTGGGGATGTGCAGCACCAAGTCCTGCAGATGCATGCTGGGGTCACCCCTCTTCTAGCCCCCAGCCCTGGGGGGAGGAGCCCATGCACGGCCTGGCCCGGGTGGGGATGTGCAGCACCGAGTCCTGCAGATGCATGCTGGGGTCGCGAGTCCTGCAGATGCATGCTGGGGTCGCGAGTCCTGCAGATGCATGCTGGGGTCGCGAGTCCTGCAGATGCATGCAGGGGTCACCCCTCTTCTAGCCCCCAGCCCTGGGGGGAGGAGCCCACGCACGGCCTGGACCGGGTGGGGATGTGCAGCACCAAGTCCTGCAGATGCATGCTGGGGTCGCGAGTCCTGCAGATGCATGCTGGGGTCGCGAGTCCTGCAGATGCATGCTGGGGTCGCGAGTCCTGCAGATGCATGCTGGGGTCGCGAGTCCTGCAGATGCATGCTGGGGTCGCGAGTCCTGCAGATGCATGCTGGGGTCGCGAGTCCTGCAGATGCATGCTGGGGTCGCGAGTCCTGCAGATGCATGCTGGGGTCGCGCCAGGCCAGTGGCTCTGGAGGAGACGGCACACCTTCCCGTGTATACTGGCCGCATTTACAGTCGCTTCTCTGTTCATTGTTTCTGCGCCTGTCATGCACTTTCGACCTATAATGCCTCCCTCCTCCCTCCCCACTCCTTTTGTCTCCCCAGTTAAATTCCTGCTCATCCAACCAGACTCGTAGTGCCACCTCCTCTGGGGAGTCCTCCAGGAGGAGCCAGACCCCTGGCCTTCACCAGCAATCTGTTCCCTCCCCTCACTGGCCTGCATCCAACGTGCTCCTAATATGCTGCCCGCCACCCTACAGCATCGCCCTCTGTCTACGCGTCCGTCTTCCAGGCTGGGCTGTGGGCTCCTTCAGCACAGGGGTTCTCCGGTGTGTCACTCCCCCCCCCCCCACAGCCGAGCCTTGTGCCCTGCATGGAGTGGGCAATGAGCCAAGGCTTGGGCAGAGAATGACCGAGGAGCGGATCTGGGCCCGCCAGGCACACAGCTGGCCGAAGGGCTGAGCAGGCTGGGCAGCAGGGCAGGGTCGGAGAAGGTGCTGCTTGACCCCTGACCACCCCAGAGAAATGTAGGGGGGCTTTGCAACTGACATTTTCAGGAGGCATACCCACGGGCCTCAGGGTTGGGGTAACCTCGAGCTGCCCACTCTGAGGTTTGAAGTCTTTCAAATTAGGGGCAGGTCCAGGGTGAGGCCCCAGGCCCTCCGAGTCCCCTCCCCCTCCCAGCCCACCCCCGACATCATACATCTGCCTCACTGTGGCTGTCTCCTGTCTGTCCATCCAGTTACCTGTGCCCTGTCTCACGCACAACCCTTTGAGAGGAGGTTGGGGATTAGGGTCAGGGTTAGGGGTGCCCTGGAATGGACCCCTAAGCCAGTCTTGCTCAAGCTGAGGAAGCCTGACGGTCATTACAAATCAACAGTGTTCAGAGAAACGCGTGAGCTGGAGAAGGAAGAATGCTGGAAGCCAACGGGCCGAGTTCCGGAGCTGGTTCTGCCTGTAAGCAGCTGGTGACCCTGGGCAAAGGGTTCGGTGTTCGGCTAGGACAGGGCAGGAGGAAGTGACTTGGCGTCCTCTCCAGCATGTGACCCAGGGAATCCGAGAAGCACACATCAGGCGGGGAGCACTTACCCCGAGATACCACCAGATGGATGGCTCTGGAAGCAGAGAACTCGAGAGAGTTGAGGGTTCCACACCAGTAGAACCCCGAGTCCTCCACCCTGAGCTCCGTCATGGTGACGGTGAAGTAGCTGAATCTGGGGACATCCTGGATGAAGTACCGAGGCCTCCCAGGCACTGTCAAGGGCCTGGAGTGGGTGACCAACGGGACACAAGTGTCTGCGGACACTTTCCTGCACCAGGCTTTCGTCTTCCAGCCTTCCTGGGGCCTGTACCAGCACGTCACGGAGAGTGTCTCCCCCTCCAGTTTCCGCAGCGACTCTGGCTGCTGTTCCCAGGAGCCTGAGAATAAACCGCCAGGTCAGGGGCCCCCAGCTGCCCCTGCAGAGCCGAGAGATGGGACCTCCCTCCTCAGGAAGTCCTCTACTTGTGTCTGCGCCCAGTGCCCCTTGCCCACCTCCGGTCCCTTCCTGCGCACAGCCCCTTGGTGCCCACCTCGCCTCGCCCTCTCTCCTCTTGCCCGGTCCCTCTGCCCCTCACCTGAGGCCAGGAGCACCAGCAGGACAAGTGTCAGCAGGTGTGTGGCCTCCCAGGCCATGGCCCTCTTCTTGGGCTGGTGGCAGCAGGACGCCCCTGAGGGAGGGCGAGAGCTGGGCAGGGTGCAGCCCCGCCGCCCCGCCGCCCCGACGTGGGAAGAAGAGCTGTGGGCGCGAAGGCGCTGCTGGGGAAGTGGGAGTCTGGGGGGCTTCGGCCCAGAGGGGGCCCCTCCCCCTGCCCTGCCCAGGCCCTGGGGCTTTCTGTCCCGGCAGGCTGGCTCCCTCCCACTGGAGTGTGGAAAACTGTAGAAGCCCAAGAGGAAACTGTGGTGAAATAAGAACCCATTTCCCCTCCCTCTCTCTCTCCTCTGTCCTCCCACTTCCTTCTCAGCCTCAACTTTCTCCTCCTCGCCCAAGAAAAACGGGGGCTGGAGGTGAGTGACAGAGGTAGGAGACCCTCTGGAGGTCCCCGTGGTCACAGGTGTGCTGGGAATGGGGAAGTCCTGTGGGGCCTGAGAGGGAATAGGAAAGAGGGGTGGGGAGTCGTTTCCAGGGATGGGGTGCAGGGAAGGTCCCTGGCAAGGGCAGGGGAGAGCAAAGCAGACGAGGGTGGGGGTGGGGGGTGGTGCAGGGGGGAGGAGGAGAAGGAGGAGAACAGGAGTCTGTCCCCCTGTCCCGGCTCCCAGCTGGCCACTATTATCACTTCATATCCATAAGCATTTGTTGAAAGACCACGCTGATCAAGCACATTCAAGAAATAATTTGTTCTTTCGGCCCCTGTGACTACCAGGAATCTAGTCAATAATGCGTCTGGTGCCAGGTGGGTACTGGAAATATTGGGGGAGCACTGTGGAAAGTATATGATCATCTAGCCACTATGCTGGACACCTGAAACAATATAAAATAATACTAAAAGTAATCTGTAATGGAAAAACTAAATTTACAGAAAGAAAAGAGAAGAATTTGTCATTCGATGAGCGAAAGGAAAACCATTGTCACAGTCGCTCAGAGTTACTAGACAGACAGCAGAACGAGCAGAAAGCCCAGGGCGGGCGGGTCGGCAGGGACTCCGGAGGGGCAGTGAGCAGGGGTGAGGTGCTGGGGACCGAGCAGGGAAGGCCAGGGCAGGGCGCACCCTCTGCCTCACTTCTGGAGACAGGCTGCCCTTAGGGACCTAGGGAGGTGGTGGGGTGCCCGGTCCTAGTCCCCTGCCCCAGGGTCGGGGCGGTGGGCTGCCCCGGGAGGGGTGTGCCTGCTCCCAGCACCAGGCTGGACGTCCGCGGTTCTGAAGGAGGAGGGCACCCGGCTGGACGTCCGCGGCTCTGAAGGAGGAGGGCACCGGGCTGGACGTCCGCGGTTCTGAAGGAGGAGGGCACCGGGCTGGGCGTCCGCAGCTCTGAAGGAGGAGGGCACCCGGCTGGACGTCCGCGGCTCTGAAGGAGGAGGGCACCGGGCTGGACGTCCGCGGTTCTGAAGGAGGAGGGCACCGGGCAGGACGTCCGCGGCTCTGAAGGAGGAGGGCACAGGGCTGGAACAGTCACGCGTTCTGAAGAGGAAGGCACCGGGGCTGGACGGCCCAGTTCTTGAAGAAGGAGGGCACCGGGCCTGGGCGTCCGCGGTTCTGAAGGGGAGAGGCACCGGGCTGGACGTCCGCGGTTCTGAAGGAGGAGGGCAACCGTGCCTGGACTCCGCGTTCGAAGGAGGAGGGCACCGGGCTGTGCGTCCGCGGTTCTGAAGGAGAGGGCACTGGGCGACGTCCGTGGTTCTGAAGGAGGAGGGCACTGGGCTGGGCGTCCACGGTTCTGAAGGAGGAGGGCACCGGGCTGAGCGTCCATGGTTCTGAAGGAGGAGGGCACCGGGCTGGACGTCCGCGGTTCTGAAGGAGGAGGGCACCGGGCTGGACGTCCGTGTTCTGAAGGAGGAGGGCACCGGGCTGGACACGTCGCCGGTTCTGAAGGAGTGAGGGCACCGGGCTGGACGTCCGCGGTTCTGAAGGAGGAGGGCACCGGGCTGGACGTCCGCGGTTCTGAAGGAGGAGGGCACCGGGCTGGGCGTCCGCGGTTCTGAAGGAGGAAGGCACCGGGCTGGGCGTCCGCGGTTCTGAAGGAGGAGGGCACCGGGCTGGGCGTCCGCGGTTCTGAAGGAGGAGGGCACCGGGCTGGGCGTCCGCGGTTCTGAAGGAGGAGGGCACCGGGCTGGGCGTCCGCGGTTCTGAAGGAGGAGGGCACCGGGCCGAGCGCCCACCCGCTCAGTCGGACTCCCTGCCCAGCCAGTGTGCAGCGTTTGGGTGAACCTCGGGCTTGCTTGCCGGTCCCACTGTGGAAGGTGTCAGGTCTGCTTGTGGACACCCGCACATCCCAGGGCTGGGTCTCTTTCCGTGTTTCCCGTTGGTCACTACAGGACACTCTTCACAGGTGGCCTCCAGTGTCTCTGCCCGATACGGAAGCTGGGCTGTGTCACCGCCTCAGGCCCAGCAGCCCTGGCCTGCCGGCAACCCTCCCCTCTGCACCTCCCTGCCCTGGGTCTGCTGGGATCTGGGTCCCCCTGCAGCTCGGGGACAATGGTAGGAGGAGGAAGAAGGAAGTGAGATGCTGGGTTTGGGGAGAAAATGTCCCAGAGGCCTGGAGGTCACTGGGCGCATAGCAGCTGGGGAGCAGGCACGGGGTCTGGGTCTCCTTACCAGTGGGTACTGGGTCCTTCCCAGCCGTGGGGTTCATGTGGGAGCAGGCTCACGAATGGGCAGTGTGTGAAGTCCGCCCGGTGCCAGGAGCCCCTCATCCTGGGCAAGTAGGGGTGGTGGTCACCCAGACCGCTACCCTGCCCACACCAGGCACAGCCTGGGCCCAGCACCCAGCACCTTGGGACCATGTCCCCCTCTGCCCTCTCTTTCCTCTACAAGCGAGGACAAAACAGAGACACGGGGTCCAGAGGTCTCTAAAAGTGTGGAATGTCACTCCCAGTGTTACAGCTCGGAAAGGACCTGTGGATCAGCAGTCAGGACACACTCACTCGCATGAAGTTCATATTCTGTCGTTTTATTCTGAAAAGTCTTGAGGTAGGAATTAGTGTCCCCTTTCACAGGAGAGGGAAAATGAGGGCCGTTAGGGTTAGTGACTCGCACGGGGCCACACGGGGACAGGTGGCAACCCTGGGTCCCCTGGGTCCCCTGGGTCCGGGCCCTGAGCCCCTGCAGCACTCTCCCAGAGGGCCTCCCAGTTGTAGGGTCTTGGATGGAGGTGAACTCTTGGGACCTAGTTTCCCCCAGGTGAGTTAAACTTCCTCCAAGTTACATACCAGGTGATGGCCACACCTTCCTGGGAGGACAGATGTCAGTGTGTGTGTGTGTGTGTGTGTGTGTGTGTGTGTGTGCCGGGGTCTCCCTTCTAGCGCCCTCTCCTGGACACAGGGAAAAGGTGCCTCCTCAGTAATGCCCCATAGGATTACCCCGCTCCCCCTTCTCTCCCCATGCCCATCTTGGAGTGGCCCCATTGAGGGTCCGGCTGTGTCACTCTCCTGACTATGACATTTGCTCTCCCACCTGGGAGGTCCCTGACCAGGACCAAGAGTAGAGATGCCACATTTATACCCAGGTGCTTTCTCCAGTCATTCCGGGCTGGTGGACCCCCCTCTTCAGGGAACGAATGCAGCTCGGATTCTCCAGCCTTCCCTGCAGAAGAGGCCAAGTTTGAGCCAGGGGCCGGTGAGGCAGCAGCAGATCTCAGGCTGCTGGGCCAGGGTCCTTGGCTCCATCCGCCCCTGCCCGCCCCCACCAGGCAGGCCTCCAGGCTGGGGTAGGCTCTGAGTTGTCTTGGCCGTGTCACAGTGGCTCCTCTCCTCCCAAGGGAAAAGAAGACCCTGGAGATGTGGGTGGGGGTCGTGTGATGATGCTCCCTTTCTCTGAGCTGTGGTCCCCCCTTCAGTGGACTCTGGAGGACCCTCAGGGCCCTCCCGGAGCTCAGACCTGGAGTCCAGGTGTGGGAACTAGGAAACACAGCCCTGAGTTCAGCCTCTGCACCCCAGTCAGGGGTCAGGCTGGCCCTGCACTGAGGGGCTCTCAGTGGCCCATCACAGTCATCACAGCAGGGACTGGCCAGCAGGTGGCAGCAACGACAGGCTGGGTTCTGCCAGCTCCCAGGCCTTGAGGGACAAGCAGCGAAGTCAGGGCAGGGCACACCAGGGGTCAGTCAGAGGGCACATGGCCTGGGGCACGGGGGCTTGGACAGCTCTGGGGCCCCTGCTGCCAATGCCTCTGAGGACCCCCAGCTCTCAGCCACTGCTCATTCTCCTCCAGGGCGGGCCCGTGGGCCACCAGCTGCCTCTGGGATTCTCTCTTCCCCAAGTTCACAGGAAAGCTTGACGGAGCAGAGGGCAGCTAAGGACACAGGGTCCAGGTGGAGAGAGGGCAGCTGTCCACCTGCCCCAGCTCCACTCAGCCTGGTGACAGGGGTCCCAAGGCCAGCTGGAGCTGAGGCTCTGTCTGTAAACAGCACCATCCAGCTGGGGCCCAGTGCCTGCCTGCGGCTCTGAGCAGAATTCCCTCAGGGGCTTCCCCCCAATAGCTGCTGCCCGCTCGGGGGGTACCCCCAGGTTCCTGGCAGCCAGGGGTCTGAGCGGGCGAAGTGAGGCCTCTGGTGAGGGAAGGCCTGAGCCCAGCCTTGCACAGTCCTCACCCCCCAACCTGGCTCCAGTCCAGACAGGTCCCCATCTTCACTTCTCCTGTGACCTCCGGGAAAAGCGTCCATCTGGGAAAAGCTGCCCGACTCCGTAAGTGGCCTTAAACCAAGCAGGCTTCCAAGGAGGCTCCAGGCTTCCAGGTTGGTCCCTCCAGGGTCTGGCAGGGTCCCTGCACATGCTGTAGCCTGAGGACCAGGGAGACAGATGGAGAAGGCCGGGGTCCTGCTCACCATCCCCCACGCTCCGGGGCTGGACCAGCTCCTCTCCTGGCCTGCTCTTCACTTCCTGCCCGGTCAGCCCCGGAAAGCAACACTGCCCTGTCCCTGCCCGCCCCTCACCCGGTGCCTCAGTCCTGATGGACCCAGGGACTGTCCCTGCCCGCCCCTCCCTCACCGGGTGCCTCAGTCCTGATGGACCCAGGGACTGTCCCTGCCTGCCCCTCCCTCACCTGGTGCCTCAGTCCCGATGGACCCAGGGACTGTCCCTGCCCGCCCCCTCCCTCACCCGGTGCCTCAGTCCTGATGGACCCAGGGACTGTCCCTGCCTGCCCCTCCCTCACCTGGTGCCTCAGTCCTGATGGACCCAGGGACTGTCCCTGTCCGCCCCTCCCTCACCCGGTGCCTCAGTCCTGATGGACCCAGGGACTGTCCCTGCCTGCCCCTCCCTCACCTGGTGCCTCAGTCCCGATGGACCCAGGGACTGTCCCTGCCCGCCCCCTCCCTCACCGGGTGCCTCAGTCCTCCTGATGGACCCAAGAGAGGCCACACCGCCAGGGGCCCACCATCAAGCCCCAGGGCTCTGCCCTCGGAGGCCGGGAGGAGGGGCTCTACTCACTTCCCCTGTGTCTCTTCTTCCAGAACCCATAGACCACAATCACCGCCACGGGCACCGAGAGGAAGGTCAGCACCCCCACGAGCACAGTGAGGCTAGAGTCCTGGTGCCTGAGGAGACGGGACAGAGCGGTGAGGTGAGCACCAGCTCCCCCCCACCCCGCATGAGCCATGTCTTTCTGCACACCACATGATAGGAGTAGGGGGAGGGGAACCCTGATGGGCCCTGCGGGGGAGGGAGGGCCCCTCTTCCTTGGGGACCCAGCTATGAAAGAAGGAAGTGCGCTCAGGGGAGGAAGTCCCCAGGTAGAGGGGAGCATCTGTGCACTTTAGCACCCCTACTCCATTTCCCCCCGAATCTGCCCACCCTCCAGCACAAGGACTCTAAGAGACTCCCATTTGTGCCAGAAGAGACCACGATTCTGAGTCCCATTGCAGTGACAGGCGGGCTCCCCCGCCTCGACCCTGGTAGACACGGGGTGCCCTGCCCGTGTTCCTTCCCTGTGCCGTGTGCATGTGCACCTGTCGGCAGCACCTCTGTGTACTTCTGTTTCTTTTGGTCTGAGGACTTTCTCTTGTCACTGGCGCCCAGCGGGGTGGGTGTACAATGCGCCGGCCCCTTGCCCTCCAGGGGGCCGCCGGAGCCCAGAGCTCGGCACAGGCGGCACCTGGCTCGGCCCGCGTTCCAAATTCACGAATCCTGCTCTTTTACTCCTTCTGGGGGAACCCAGGTGAAAGCATCCCCCACTGTCCGCTCCCCTTGTCCTGTTCCTACCCTCTGCATCTACAGACCCTCGTGCTGACCCCTCCCTGCCCTCACTGCCCACCACTGTCCTTCACGGCACCTCGCCACCCCAGCTTCCAGGCGCCCCCCCCCCACCCACTCAGCTACAAGCCAGACCAAATTCCAGGGGGGGGCGAAAGAGGAAGGTCTGCTGCGACACCGGCACCCTGCGGTCTGCTCAGGCACGGAGAGCCGCTGCTGCCACACCTGGGAGACGCCGTTCCGCCCCTGGGCCCAGGGTACCTGACGGGGGACAGCTTGTGGAGGATCGACCTGCTGGTGAGGCACATTCTCGTGGTGGGCGACCTGGTGCGCAGCTGCCCGAGCTCGGTGAAGTCGGGTGCGGGGCCAGCCGAGGACGCTCTGGCTTTGCTGGGAGACGCAGTCACAGTCTGGAGCCCCTTGGTCCTTTGGGGCCCCGGGGTGGGGGGGCTGGTGAAGCTGTAGCCCGTCATGGGGCTCAGTCTGATGGTCCCTGAGGCACCGGAGGGCAAGAGTCTGGCCAAGGTGAGGACTCCGGGTGTGAGCATCTTCACACTGGTGGTGAAAGGGGCGCCAGGGCCCGAGGTGGGAGCTTGGCCCGTTGAGACGACGATCCCACCCTTGAGGATGTCGGCCAGTTGGGTAAGAGGCGTGTTTCTCTTAGCTGTGGGCACTGAGGACCAGAGAGGGAGGAGCGTTAGGCTGAGTTTGGGGCCTGGGTGCTGGGAGCAGACCCTGCAACCCACATGGCTGCCTGGGTGCCTGGGCGGGGCCTGTCCTCACCTCCCCACTGACCTTGGACTAGGACTCTGCTCTGATGACTGACGGGTGTGTTCATTCAGAGGGAGATGCCAGGAAGAAGGAGGCACAGTAAAGAAGGAAGAGACTTTCACAATCCCTTTAGCCTCCCTGCCAGGCCTCGTGGGCCCAGAGAGTTGGCCCTTCCCCATCCCCCCCCTCCTGTCACTCCTGGCCCTCCTCGTTTCTGTGGGCCAGAGACATCCCTCCACGGTGATGTTGGATGGGTCTTTCCCAGCTGCTCCGTGATTGACTGAGGTCCAGAGATGAGGACAAGGAAGCAGCAAAGGCCTGGATTCCGAAGAATGCCACAGCGGCAGGGCAGACCTACCTTGGGGGCTTCCTAAGAGACATCGGTCATGCTAGCCTCACCCATCAACCCAGCCCGTTACCGTCCCTTTTTCTAGAAGGCTGGCGTTTGGATGGCGGGGGAGAAGGGAGCTGCAGTGCTGAGGTCCAGTCAAGGGGGCAGTGTTGGGTCTTTCTCTGCGGGGAACAAGGACATTGGAGCAAGATGGCAGGGGTCAGAGAGGGCGGCTGCCCCCCACGATCGTGCATGGCAAGGATGCAGTCCTGAAGGCCAGGTGGTCACCATGAAAGGTGCCCTATTTTCTGGGCAAGGGACCCCAGAACAAGCAGCATTGGTGAGGGTGGACATAGAGGACGGGGCGCACCAGGAGCCAGCTCTCCCACATTCTACTCAGCAGTGGGCAGACCCCCAAAGGACCCTGCAAAGAACTCACACATACGTGCCTTGGGAGAGCCAGTCTTTGGACATACTTCATAGAGGATCTCAAAGGGTTGGGCCAAATAGGAGTGATATCTAACTACCAAGGGTCAGCGAAGTCACACCACCTCCATTCCTGCCCAGTACACCACGGAGCTGGGAGGGGGAGACGAGGAGAAGGTGACTAAGAGGAACCCCCTCCCCCAGCCTCCAGAGAGGACGGAGAAAGAATTAGGTGCCTCGGGTCCTGAAGCCTGGTCTTCAAGGGGGAATAGAAGAGAGCCTATATTGCTAGAAGGTTCTAGTTTTTAATTGGGCTGAGGATTCTTTATTTCCTAAGGACTGGAAAGTTGGAATCTCCTCAAACTGTCATTAAGAGATGCAAACTGAGATCTGACATAGTCCACGGGGGGAGATATGCTAAGAGAAAAATAAAACCACTTCATGTTTGTATCTCTACAAATACAGGCTTCAGCAAGCTGGGTCCAACTCCCTCCCTGGCTCCAAATCAGAACTAGAGAGTGGGGGGAGGAGCTTGGGCTCCGCCTCTTACAGACAGCAGTTGCCCCGTTCAGACCTAACAGAAGAGGCGGTGCAGTGGGGTTAGGGGGACAGGGAAAGGTGGGTACTGATCATAATCATTGGCCACTTTTTAAAGACTCTTTCACCCTCTTCGATCTATAAATGTGGGAGGACCTGGGGGCTGGATTCCAGGCTCCAAGGCTTTTATATTTTCCTGAATTTTTAAGAACTTTATTGAGATATAACTTCCATCGCATATGACACACCACGGATAGTGTCACACTCAGTGTTTTCAGCATCCTCCCAGAGACTTGCAACCGTGGCCACAGTCAATTTTAGAATAGTTTCAACATCTCAAAAAGAGCCCCCTCCCCCCTTAGCCATTACCCCTCAGCCCTCAGCATCCACCAGCCTTTCTGTCTCTGTAGATGTCTGGAATCCCCTTGGCTTGAAACTGTCTTCACAGAGGTGATTTCAAATATATCCTCAGCTCCAGTCTCTCACCTGAGCCTCAGGCTGCAGCAACGGCCTCCTCGTTTCTCCACGAGGTTCCAGGAGGCGCCGTCAACAGGGACGTGACAACACAGAGCTCTGCGTTCCACCCCTCCAGACCGGCTCCTCCTCCAGCCCTGCCCTACCCAGGACACGGCCCACATGCACTGTGCTGATGAATCGCAGCGCCTTGGAGCCATCCTTGAGTTTCTGCTTTTGCTCACCTCCCAAATGAGCAAATCCTGTCTCACCTCAAAAAACAGACTGGTCTGGTCAGGATGGCAGCGTAGGTAAATGCAGTATTGCCTCCTCCCACAACCATATCAAAATTACAACTAAACTACGAAACAACCATCATTCTGAACCTCCTGACTTCGAGCTGAATGGAGGTCCTACAACTATGAAATTAAAGAAGCCACATGGAGACTGGTAGGAGGGGAGATGTGGACAGGCTGGTCCCACACCCACGTGTGGCAGATAAAAATCAGGAGGACACCTCGGCTGAGAAGGTCCTCCCTGAGGAGTGAGGGGTCCCTGTCCCACACCAGGTGCCCAGCTCAGGGTTCCAGTGCCAGGAAGAGAATCCCCATCACTTCTGGCTGTAAAACCAGAGGGAACTGAGGCTGAGGGAGGCTGCGGCTGCTGGAGCTCCAGGCAGTTCCTCTTAAAGGGCCCGCGCACAGACTTACTCGGACTTGCGCCCTCTGAGCTAGGAGGGGAGGCAGCTTGAGGGGCACTAGAAATATACAGGGAAGAACTGAGCTGTTTGGCCTTGGGTCGAGGGCTGGAAAGGCGGCCTTCTCCTGGACAGACGTGCTGACAGAGGCTGATGTTTCTTTGGTGAGCCCTTCCCTGGGCTCCAGCAACCTGGCTCACACTGTTTGCCCCGCCCTGGTGATTCCCTGAGGCCCTGCCCCACCCAACTTTTGGGCCCACCCAAGCTGTTTCCAAAGGCTTTACCATAGGATTGGCCTGTCTTGGATCCTGCTTCATAGTTTTCTAACATCTCTCAAACAAGAAGCATCTGGTCTCAGTCCCATATCTCTTGTTAAGTGGCCCCAGGGCTGGCACTAGAAGCAGCGAGCCTTGGTTCACCACTTGGCTTTGCCTTGGCACCTCCAAGCCCAGCACAAGAAGCAGCCATCTGCAGATCACTTTGCACCTTACGCCTGGTGGCCCTGGATAGAACACAGGCAGTGGCTGACCTTGCCCCAGAGCCAGCACACCCAGTGGACAGCTTCAGACCACATCAAAGCACCACCACCCAACCACCTCCACAAGTGACACACTCAAGGAGTGGACTCAGTGGGTATCAGAGCCCTGCTGAAGTAAGTCTTGCTCTGTGTGCTGGGCCCTACACAGCTGATCCTCCAAGGTAGTCAGAGGTCAGTGGTCAGTGGGCACAGCCAGTCCTTGAAGCTGATCAGCCTGAGTAAATCCCTTCTATTGACATGCCACCTGCAATTAAGACTCAATTACAACAGAAGGGTGTACAGTCCACAGTAGGGGTGCACCTCGAGTGCCAGCGGGGGTGATCAGGGAGGCTGAGCCACTGGACCCTACAGGACACCTACAACAATAAGCCACCCTATGAAGCCTAGGAGACATAACAACTCTAACTAATACATAGAAACAATCACAGGGATGCAGCCAAAATGAGGAGACAAAGAAACATGTCCCAAATGAAAGAAAAGAACAAAACTCCAGGGAAGGAATTAAACAAAATGGAGATAAGCAATTAATCAGATGCAGAGTTCAAAACACTGCTTATAAGGTTGCTCAAGGAACTTGGTGAGACATTCAAGGAACTTAGGAAGACCTCCAAAGAACTTAGTGAGAACATCAACAATGTATAAAAGGACCGGTCAGAAATGAAGGATGCACTAACTGAAATAAAGAATAATTTACAGGGAATCAATAGTAGAGTAGGTAAAGCCAAGAAGCAAACCATCTATTTGGAATATAAGGAAGCAAAAAACACCCAATCAGAAGAGCGAAAAGAAAAAAGAATTCAAAAAAATGAGGATAGTGTATGGAGCCTCTGGGACAACTTCAAGCGTGCCAACATTCCCATCATAGGGGTGCCAGAAGGAGAAGAGAGAGAACAAAAAATTGAAAACCTATTTGAAACAATAATGACAGAAAACTTCCTTAACTTGGTGAAGAACACAGACATACAAGTCCAGGATGCACAGAGAGTCCCAAACAAGATGAACCCAAAGAGGTCCACACCAAGACACATCATCATCAAAATGCCAAAGGTTAAATACAAAGAAAGAATCTTAAAAGCAGTGAGAGAAAAGCAGTCCGTTACCTAAAAAGGAGCTCCCATAAGACTGTCAGCTGATTTCTCAAAAGAAACTTTGCAGGCCAGAAAGGAGTGGTAAGAGATATGCAAGGTGATGAAAAGCAATGACCTACAACCAAGATTACTCTATCCTGCAAAGCTATCATTTAGAATCGATGGACATATCAAGAGTTTCCCAGACAAGAAAAAGCTAAAGGAATTCATTGCCACCAAACCAGTATTATATGAAATGTTGAAGGGTCTTCTTGAAGGAGAAGAAGAACAAAAATATGAACAATAAAATGGCAATTAATACATATCTATCAACAAGTGAATCTACAAACAAAATGAGCAAGTAGAGCAGAAACAGAAGCATTACAGAGAACTTTCTGTTGCTTGCCAGATGGGCGGGGGCTGGGGGGATGGGTGAAAAAGATGAAGGAATTAAGAAGTACAAATTGGTTGTTAGACTGAGTAACCTCAAAGGGAAGAGGGATGGGGGAGGGTGGATGAGATAAACCAAAGAACTTCTATGCATATATGCATAACGAGTGGACATTGACAATAGTGTGGGGAAGGCAGGAGGGTGGTGGGATTAGGGAGGAGGGGGGTCAATGGGGAAAAAGGGGGGGACATCTGTAATACATTCAACAATAAAGATGAGTTAAAAAAAACAAACAACGTACAGGGTGGGCAGAAGTCTGACCATCATAGATTTGAGCCCCTCCTCTTGTTTCCATCTCCAGGGACCACATCTTACTCCAAGACACTGTCGTTTTCAGCCAGGATGCCCACAGTGCTTTCTCTGCCCACGTTCTTCTTCCCCAATCCATCCTCCACACGGCAGCCAGTATTGTCTTAAACATAAGCCACAGCACACCCCACTGTGCTCTCCAATCGCTCTCTGTTATACTTAGGAAGAACTCAAACTTGTAACAGACTTCAGGGCTTCTGTTTGACTCTTCAACCTCATCTCCTGTCGTCCTGCCCCACACAGGGCAGACCAGCCACCCAGGCCTGCCTTATGCAGCCCTCGCTCCTTCCCACCTCAGAGCCTCTGCACATGCGCTTCTTCCCTGGAATGACCTTTGAAGCATCCACATTTCAACAGTTAGAAAGCTCTCGTCATTGAGGGCTCTGCCTGGTGTCACCTGCTCAAGGAGGTCTCCTCTGAACCCTGGTTTCAGCAGCTCTCTCCACCACTGAGCTACTTTCTGGTTCATCACACTGTTTAATTTTCCTAAGAACATTTATTGTTATCTGCGATTACTGTCTGCTGATGTACTATGGCCCGCCACCTGGGCAGAGTTGGGTCTGTTTTTGCTCCCCACTGTATCCTCAGAGCCAGGCAGAATGGCTGGCACATAGCCAGGGCTCAGTGACTATATATTAAACAGGTGACTGAAGGAAACAAAGCACAGAGAGACGAATCTCATCGCTGACACTTGCTAGCGCTGTTATCTTAGACAAGATCAGAGGCACACAGGGACGTTTAGATCTCACTGTCTCCATATCAAATGGTGACAGTAATGTTCATGAAGATGCCTGAAGAACTGTGAGAGCCCTACTGTGCAGGAAGCCCACTGACGGATTACTAGTCTCAGTAAATCCGACGTTAGTGCGGCCCAGGGAGGGAGGACACCGCCACCATCCCCGTGCCCCAGCAGGCCTGCTCACCTGGAGACACTTCCAGCTGGAAGCCCATCAGAGGGTAGAGGATCCCGGAGCTGTTGCGCATGCACCAGTAGCGGCCCGAGTCCTGGCGCCGGAGGGCCACCATGGTGATGTTGACCACCTTGGCCTGGGCATCGTCCTGCAGCAGGTAGCGCGGCCCCTGCGCCCAGCCCCGGCTGAACCCAGGCTCACACTTCTTCTTCCGGATTTTGCACCAGACCTTGCCGTCCACGTGTTTTTTGCGGCCCTTGTAGGAGCACTGCACAGACAGCGTCTCCCCTTCAAAATGCTGCACTTTGGAGTACACGCTCTCAGCAGGGACACCTGCGGGGGACAGGGTGTGTTGAGCAAGGTCTGGCAAGAGAGGGGAAGGCGGCATCGTGAAACCTGAGGCTCGCAGTGGAGGGCATCGCCCTGCTGAGGGGGACTCGTGGTCTGAGGGAGAACCGGCCCTTCTCTGAGGGCGCTCCCCTAGTCCGAGGGGGGACGCAGGCCCCTCCCTCAGGGAGGCCCTATGGGACACGGCCCCTTTCTTCATGGCATTTTCCCATCTGATGGGAATATGACAAGCCCCGTCTTCAGAGTCTCATGGGAAAGACCAGGACCTCCCACAACAAGGCAGATACGCATGTGCAAGTACCGGTCAATCGGTTATGAAATTCCAGAGCACAAACCATATAGTAGATAAGAAGATCCGATCTTAATTTTTGAAAACATTAAGAGTAGTCATTTATGTTACGAAGAGGTTCGCTATGGACATCTTTTACATAGCAAGTTGTCTTGGTTCATTCTAGGTGGTTTTTAACTTTGAAATGTCCTAGTTACATAAAAGCCGTAGATTAGATGTGCCCCAGAGTGCATAGAACGGCCAGCCCAGCGCAAGCCAAAGGATCCTAGGCCACCCACTGTTCTCTTCCCATTCATTGTCCTCTGCGAGAGGAAGGAGACGTGGGCTGCGCATCTCAGGATCCGCAGTCGGAGACGGTGGGGGGGGGGGGACGACTAGGTCAGGGGAGGCGAATCCAGGGCCAGGGGGGAGAGGGCTGGGGCGGTGCCTCCGCCCACCGCCTGCCCCAATCTCAGCACCTGCTCCTTGGCACCCCAGAGCCTCTGTGCACAAGCACAAACACACAAGCTACTCCCCAGTGGGACAAAACAGACCACACATTTTGGAGTCTAAGTAAACATGGGTTAAAACCTATTCTACTGCCAGAGATCAGGTCGGCTATGACAACGGTGCCCCAGGACAGGGCCTTGAATATGGTAGGTGCTCAGCGCGTGCTTCCTTTTCCCGCATGCATGTTGCTCCAGACTTCGCTGCAAGAGCCCAGCACTACGCTAGCCAAGGGCCTGGTACCCAAGACATCTGCCTCAGTTTCCAACCTGGCTGCTACTACAGGGCCAGGCTGCAGACTTGGAGTAAGGTAACACCGTCTCTGAGCATCACTTTGTCCCACACGAATGAAACACAATGATCCAACTCAATTATTTGGTGGGTGAGCGGTTTGGGGGACCCCAGATGGCTCAGCACAGGAGACACTCTTCTGCCCTGGCAGAGGGGGGCCTCTCTAGGGGAGATGCATGGATAGGGTCACCTAAGAAAGGGTCTCCAGGGTACTGGGTTCACTCATGTCCACTTCCACCCCTCTCCCAGGGGGTGAGGAGTGGGTTTTGCCAACCCCCACCATGCCCAGAGCTGAGCAGGAAGTGGTAACTTCGTTGCCATGGCAGCAAGAGAGGCAGGATTGGGTGAGCCCTCCTTAAGGAACATTAGTGCCTAGAGGTGGGGGAGGCCTTCAGGCACTGCGACCCCTCAGGACAGGGTGTCATGGCACCAGCATTCAAGAAGAAGCAAGTTCAAAGCACACACATGATGCAATGATTCCCGCGGCAACCAAACGGGGCTTTCCTGGCCCAGGCCAAGGGAGAGGCTTTCTGGGTGAGGAACTGTGTGTTCCCGGCCAGAGTCCTGAGGGAGTCGCGCAGAGAGGGCCCCCAGCTTCGTGAGACCTGGGGCAGCTTTGCCTGGGGCCAGGTATTGGGGCGGAACCTTCTCATTGGTCTCTGGTAGGAGCTACTTAGGCTGGCCCAGCCCCCCCCTCCCCCTCCAGCTCCACAAAATATCAAACCACATCACTGGGCAAGGAAAAGCGAGGTGGGAGGGCCCGGCGGCAGGCCGGTCCCTCCCGTGGCGCCCACCCCCTCTCACCTGAGACGCAGCCCTGCAGCCACGCGAGCAGCAGCAGCAGCAGCCACGTGGGAGCCATGGCTCCATCCAGCCGCCGCGCCGGCCAGCGGGCGCCGCACGCCCCGATCCCCGTCAGGGCCCGGGCCGAGGCAGGAGGGACCCCTTGGGTCTGCCAGGGAAGAACCTGGGCTTCTAAAAGTGAAGCTGCCCATTTAGGGAAGTGAGGAAGTCACGGGACCCACTGCGACCGGCGACCGCAGGAGCCCCAGAGCCGGGAGGGCGTGCCGGCTCGGTTTCCGCCCTCTTCCTCGAAACTCGGGCAGGTGTGGCCGCTCCACCCAGTCTGGGCCCGGCCCAGGGAGGGCTCCCAGGGGCTGAGACTCCCACACTTTCTGCATTCCCTGCAGGAGACTGGTCCAATAGGTGTGCCTCCTGTCCTGAGACAGGAGATCCACCTAGGGGCGCGTGTGAAGTTCTGGAACCTCAGGTAGACTTCCCCGGAATGCTCTGGGCTCTGACACCCAGGGGTAGGGGATCAGTGGCCAGGGCGAGGCATCTGGGATCCTACCTTTTCACAAACACACATTCAAAGGAGGTTCTTATAAACTCATTCATTCATTTATTCATCCTTGGTCGAATGCGTTCATTCTGGTTCTCTCCCTCTCTCACAGGCTCCTGGCTGGTGGAAACTGTCACTCACGCTCACACTTGCAAATAACCCCCTACATGCGCAAACGCAATCTTGTTTTTGTCACGGTTAGAGTGACAGGGGGGGGGGGGGGGATGCAAATTGTAAAACAGCATAGGGCATGGGTTCAGGGAGGGGCTTCTGTGCTCACATGAGGGCTGGTGCATACACACACACACACACACACATACACATACTATCACACACAACAGAACACACACACACAAGCTGCCTCTCCACTTCCCTACTAACGTCCCCGAGTCCTGTCTTCTCTACCTGTCCTGCTGTCCCACCACCTCTCCGGAGACTCCTGCTCCCTCTTGCAGGCTTCCTAAAGCAGCACCAGATCCTCCCCTCCCCCATCTGTCCCCCAGAGCCACGCCCCCAGCCCCTCTTCCCTAGCTCTGGCCCCCAGCCTGCACACAGGCATGCCCAGGGCACTTCCTCTGCTCACCCTATCTCGCCCAGACAGCCGCTCAGCTGCAGCTGAAATGACCCAGCATTTGGCCCAAGACCCCACCCTTCACTTAGTCCCCGGGCTGAGAATCAGAAGAATATGCCGCTGACAGCCAGGACCTGTGTCGTCTGCTCCTTTGGAGTGTGAGCCCCGAGACACATGTGCTCCCGTCCTCACCTGGGCCAACTTGCTTCTCCTCTGATGGGATCAGAGTAAAAGTCCTGCAGTTCGCGTGGCCACAGTCGTAAACTGAGTTTGAACCTCCAAGTCCTAAACCAAAGAAGTTTGTATCTTTGCTGACCCCACACTTGTCGTCTCTCAACTTACTCGTTCGTCCATCCCCTCATCTGTTGGTTCTCACAGTCTTAGTGCTGCGGTGGTGCTGGGTGGTGCTGGGCATGGGGCAGAGGAATGAGGTCCGTCCTGCTTCGGACGGCTCAGCTCCAGCAGACCTGGTGCGCTCTCCTTGTCCACCCTCCTTCTTCTACACTTCTGCCCAGTGCTCGGACCCCTGAGCTCAGAGGCTACCTCACCTCCCAACACACATCCTACCTGCCTTCCCGCTTCCTTCCTTCCCTCCCTCCTCCCTCCCTTCCCCCTCTCTCCCTCCCTCCCTTCCCCCCTCTCTCCCTCCCTCCCTTCCCCCTCTCTCCCTCCCTCCCTTCCCCCTCTCTCCCTCCCTCCCTTCCCCCTCTCTCCTTTCCTCCCTTCCTTCTTCCTACTTTCCTTCCTCCTTCCCTCCCTCCCTCCCCACAGCAAATGGCTTGAGGAGTGGGGCTCTTTCTATCCCTGGTGGAAACCTCACAGGCCTGCAACCCAGCTGCTGCTAAACCCCTGCTTTGTGAAACACGCCAACACAGCCAGGTTGCTGAGGGGCGAGAACCCAAACACTCTCCTTCCTCTGATAGACGTGATATAAACCCGATTCAGTGTTCCTGAGGGAAGTTGGGAAGAATTTATCCAAATCTCTAAAAGTGTGCCTCAGGCTTTTACTATAAAATAATTAAATACGGCATTATATTTTTCTGTGTCCTTCTACAGGGGGAAGCAAAAGTAGCTTACAGTTGTGAGTATGGGAAACACCGCGTTTATTCTCGTATTGTTTATTCATTGTTGTACTGTTTTCCATGCAGACAACTGTAAGCCTACTTTTGACCCTCGGATTTCTACTAAAGAAATTAAGATCTGATTTACACAGAGTAAAATTCACTCTTTTCAGGGGGAAGTTCTGGGAGTTCGACATACCCGTGGGGAGGTGTGACCACCAGCATAATCAAGACATAGGAACATTCCGTTAACCCCTAAAGTGTCCTGTGTCCCTTGGTAGTCATCTCCCCCCGTTCCTAGCAAACACTGACCTGGTCCCCCTACCCTCATAGTTTTGTCCTTTCCAGAATGTTATAAAAATAGAATGAGACCAGCCCTAGCTGGGCGGCTCAGTTGGTGGGAGTGTCATCCTGTACACCAAAAGGTTGCAAGTTCCATCCCCAGTCAGGGAGGGCGTGGGAGGCAGCCAATGATGTCTCTCTTTCACATTGATGCTTCTCTCTCTCTCACTCTATCTCGCTCTCTTTCTCTCTCTCTAAAATCAATACAAACATATCTTCAGGTGAGGATTAAAAAAAAAAAAGAAAGAAAAGAAATGATACCGTACAGCTTCTTTCACATAGTATAATGCATTCGAGATGTGTGTTGGGTGTTTCAGTTTTTGTTCTCTTTATTGTGAAAAGGGATCCCATAGTATGGCTGCACCACCATTTGTTCCTCCATCACCCATTTGAGGGACATTCAGGCTGGTGTCCAGTTTGGGATTATTCCCGACAAAACCACTACAAATATTTATACACAGGTTTTTGTATGAACATAGGTTTACATTTCACTTGGGTAAATACCTAGAATGGGATTGTTGAGTTGCATGGCAAGATTAGGTACGATTTATTTTAGAACTGACACATTGTTTTCCAATGTGGCTGCACCATTGTGCATTTCTACCAGCAACGTTCCAGTTCCCTGTCCTTGCACTTTGATATTGTCAGGTGCTGAATTTCCCCCGATTCTAATAGGTGTATAGTAGTACTGTATTCAATGTGGTTTTATTTTGCGTTTCTCTAATAATATTGAGTATCTTTTATTGGACTTATTTGCCATCAATATATCTTCTTTAAGATATCTTCTCTTCATTTTTTTGTTTTCTTATTATTGAAGTTTGAGTGCTCTTTATATATTCTGATGTATTATTTAATTAAATGTGGGGTATTTTTGCAAATATTTTCCCCAATCTATTTCAGGAGCAAAAGATTTTAACTCTGATGGAATCAAACATATCAATTTTTAACTCATACTTTTCATGTCATATCTAAGAAATCTTTGCTTAATCCAAGATCACAAAAATTTATTTAACAGCCTTACTGAAATATAATTCACATAATATAAAATTGACTCCTTTAGCTCTGGCCAGCTCGCTCAGCAGTTAGAGATCAGCCCAA